CTAGTGGCTTTAATGTTTTGCAGTCTCTTTAATTTTAGAAGCCTGTCGGTTACTTCAATATGTTTAATTTTGCAATTTTTACTCTGTACGATTAATAAACTTTGAACCTAAAAATAACGTAAACCTGTGCTGCTTTGCCAAAATTTTCTGAACCCCTCTTTACGAAGGGAATCCCTACCAGGAAATATCACATTACGCCCCTTTGACCAGCCAAGGGTTTACGCCTTCAGATGCGAGCCAGTCGGGCCCTGGCCGTGATAACGAAGAGAGCAGTAAGTGTCAAATTTTCCAAATCTAGTTTCCTTCAAAATTCGTCTTATCTCTTTCAGATGAAATCAATGAAATAGCTAAAACAGGAAAATTCGTCATATTTGTAAGGAAAGGAGACTTATGAAAAAGCCTCGAGTGCGCAAAAAATGACGTAGTCTCGAGTAAGACAGCAATAAGTGACAGTATTCCTCCAGAGAGCCAATGAAAAAAGTGCTTTCAAGTAAAAGTGCCTCTTCTGCCAATTTCTTACCTGAAAATGTGTCTGTTGTGTGTCCAAAACGCAACCACGAAACCATGCAGAAGAAAGCACTTACGGCTGTTTTGCCTAAAAATAGCCTAGCATGAAAATGTTCTTTTCATGTAATTGAAACAATATCAGTCGATTTTAAATCATCCAGACGATTTCTAGGAGTCTTTCTGGACGATTAGTGGCAATTTGACAAAGAAAGGAGGCTCCTTTCAATAAAATTTTCCGGTCAGAAGCTTCTGAGCCCGTTTTCTCAAAACTTCACTTTTGCACTTACTGCTCTCTTTGCTATAACGGCAGTACATCCATTTTGGTGGGAACAGGAAGAAAAAATGTTCTGGCAGCAACACATAGTTTTGACAAAATTTCTTCAATTTTCTCATCGACTCGAAGACTCTTGGTAAGTAATTATAAGAAAGCGGTAGCGCTACCTAAGCGAAATAATTCCTAACAACGAGTCCCTAAGATTCACCTTAATTCAGGGGTGTCCATTGGCGGATGTTCACCTCCGGGGTGCATCAATGTAGTTGCGAAAATAGGCTTGAGGATGATTGAGAAGATGCAGTTTTCACGGGCGACACCCCAAAGAGTGGGGTGGAGCGGGGAGACGGAAGGGGTCGTAAATTGCGAAAATAATGGATTATAAACAGCGGCGCTTGGTTCTCGCGGTGGATGCCCGGTGAACCGTGAACGGATCGAATTATCCGTGGCTAAATTGAACGCGGGCCTGCCGGCGACCCAAGTGGAGGTCTAGCGTTTTCACTCCCGGCTCGACAGTCAACAACTCATTTAATGCCGGTTTGTTTCAATTATTCCCGCGTTGCGCCGCGCAGTGGGTCGAGTCAATAGGAGAGGTCCGACAAAATTTGGAAAATTTTAAACGCTTATAACTCCGTTCATACAAAACTTTGAGGTTCTAACAGAGCTTCCATTGGTTTCCTCTTAAAATTTTCTGCTAGAAGCACCACTAAAGGCTTAAAATGTAACGAATTTAACATCAAAACTTGCAGTTTGAGTCAAAAATGTTATGTCCAACCTCTGTAACTGACTCGATCCACTGTGCGTTGTCCGCCATATAGATGCCCCCCCCCCCCCCNGGTCCAACTCGGACAAATTGCGTCCCCGAATGACTTGCGTCGTCCGGATTGCGTTAGCGACCATCTAAAATGCCATGCTGGTTTACCATATTGTCGCGAGCAAACGAAAAGAAGAACAAAACAAGAAAAGGAACACGAACAAGTCGGATGTTCCACCACCTCCGCGTTGAAGAGCGGCAGCGTGCGGTAAAAGAAAATTTGGCAAAATACGCAACCGTTGCCTGAAAAAAGTTGAGATATCCATGTGACTTTCGTGATCTTCGACCTCGCAATGAGTTCAACTTCATGATAGATTGGATGGATTATTATTATTGAGGGGCTTGGAGAGCAAGGCGCATACACATAAAGAAAAAGTTACCAAAATCCAATAACCAATGTGTTAGTATAAGAAATAAAACGTAATGTAACACAAGCTGTTGGTTGATTTATTGTGTGATAGTTTTCCCTGTGTCAAATCGACCAAATATTTGGGTTGACGTGACCAAAGCTTTGTGTTGAAAATCTACGACCTCGTTAAAAATTAGTCGTTGGGATCCAGGATATCACATGGGTAACATCGGTTGAAATAAAAAGCGTTACAGCCTCTCGCAAGACGAGACTTCTGGGTTTTTTGGGAGGAAAACGAGAGTACATCAGTTCGGCAGGACACTTCCTTCGCGATCCGACGTCTCGGAGTAGCCTACGGTTTGGATTGATTTAACACAAAACTGTGTTAAGCAACGAATTCCTTTAGATTCGACACAAAAAAGTAACGTAAAGTAACGCAGAGTGTCATCAAACACGGGAATTTTTATCTGTGCGGGTGAAGTTTTTTCGTTTTCAATGAATCCGTGTTTAAATTTTCAACATTACCTAGAGCCTTGGGCGGAAAGAAAGCTCAGACTCACTTCTTTATGATTTAAAAATTGGATTTTAATGGTTAATTTTTCACAGAATACATTTCAAAACTATGGGTGAGGTTGAAATTATTAATATTTAAACTTTTTCAAAAACTGCCCTCGTGCGCCTTGCCTTTCGAGCCCCTAAATTTAGAATGATTGACACTGCTGGGTCAAGGTGTATATCGACGGTGAAATTACCAAACCACGTATCTCGGTTTGCGACGTCGCAGACTTCCTGTCATACTTTATTTTTAAAATGAAAAACTACTTAACGTCTAGTCTTGAAAATTTCTGTGATTTTTCCTCTTTGTGCGGAGAAAATTCTGTGAAAATTTCAAGGAATAATATTGATTTGGTCGACTTCAAAAAAATAAAATGCGAGCGTAGATTTTTAAACACCGCAAACGAGATACGTGGTTTGGTAGTTTCACCGTCGATATCCGGGTACAATATGGTGGTTGCACTTCATTTTGAGCCGCCATTTTGAAAACTCGTCACGCGAAGAGGGTACCGGCTTTAACTTTTGCCATTTAAACGAATCCGGAATAAACCCGACGTCGTGTGACGTCAAGAGGCCACGAAACGCGACCATCTATGCTGCTGCGCTGAGGAAAAACGCCGTATGAATTTTTGAATATTGTCAAATTTCCCACCATAAAATATTCGTTACTGAAGAAAGTTACGAATAATTATTTTACTTGAAATGTTCAGATACTTCCTGAAAATGTATTCCCTGAAAAAAATAGAAGAGAAATATTCTCAAGTTTCCAGGAAACCCTGGTATTTTCTGAGATATTTTTATGTCCGAAGGCTCATACGGCGTACTTAATTGATTATTACGATAGTGTGGGCAACTGTGCAATATCGACGGTGAAACTACCAGACCACGTATCTCGTTTGCGGTGTTTAAAAATCTCCTCTCACATTTTATTTTTTTGAAAGAGAGCAAATCCATATCATTCCTTACAATTTTCACAGATTTTTCTCCACACAAAGAGGAAAAATCAAGGAAGTTTTCACGAATTGACGTTGAGTAGTTTTCTATTTAAAAAATGAAGTATGACAGGAAGTCTGCGACGTCGCAAACCGAGATACGTGGTTTGGTAGTTTCACCGTCGATATGCTTTCGCTTTACGCTGCCTTGTAAAGGAAGAACACCGTATGAGCCTTCAGACGTTGCCGTAATACCTTTCAATAAAAAACGAATTCACCGAAAAAATTGTATATAATTTATTTTAAAGTTTTTTAGACAAATTTTCCCCCAATTTCATCTAAATTGTCTGGAAATTTTAGGAAAAAATATGCACATTCGATAAAATGCATGTTTCATCCGGGGAATCTTGGTAACTCCCGATTGTTCATACGGCGTTATTCTTCCTTAGTACAGCAATACAATTGACCTAGTCACAAGGTCGTGTAGTGTTGCATATTCTTTAAAACTATACAGAATTGTCTACAGCTTGGTCTTTTGATCTTGCGAATCAATATTGATGGTTCTATGTAAAAAATGTCATTACAACGCGGCACTACGAATGCGGCATGAAAAAAGAACGAAATTTAATTTTAAGAAATTATAAGCGTTTATGATAAAACTTTTAGAGAGGAAAATTGGAGCAGCAACTCCACGTCGAATCAAGTATTGACTGACCACAATAATGCAAATATACGAATCGAAATCGTGCATTTGACCTATTAAAAGCAAACTCCCTTCCCCTCCATTTGAAAATGAGAAAATGGCGTTGTTCCCATCGCTCTGTAGACGTATCATAGGTTAATGAATCATTGCAGCATTCATGTCAACCGACGAGCGAAATAAATGGACTGAATTTTGCAATTCGGAACTAACTTCTGAATTTTTGACTCATACGTAAAAATAAATATGTCTATAGGGAAACTAATGGTACATACGTTGTTTCTAAACCGAGCTTGGAATTTCAGTTCCGAATTGCAAAGTACTATCCAATTATCTCTCTTGGTGCCTTGAATTCCTGAATGATCTTATTCTTTGAGGTTCTCCTTGTTTCCAAGGACGCATTCCCGCTTTAAATTGTCAGGGTTTTGACAAACCTGGGACAAGAAATAACCCGGTCGCACTGTATCGCAATCTTGTGTCTAATTTGGCTAATTTGAACTTTCAATGATCGATCTGCATGCAGAGGATTTATATAAACACTCCATGATTGCAAAAATGAATTTTTCACCTCCTTCTTCTCTTAGTCCCTCATTCCTAGGAGATTTTTGGTTTCAAAAAGACATGTCAGTATTTTAAATTCCTATACCGCGGGTACAGAAACTTTCCAACCGCACGGTCGCTTGCAAAAAGAGGTAAAGCTGTGAAACCTAGGATTAGAGGATGCCGGGAAATGTGGGAGGGGAAGGGAGGGTTGATGATAGTGATGGTAGCGGCTTTCCTGATTTTTAAATGAAGTTTCTCTTAAATAGTGGAGTGTTGACAGGAATATTTCACAAAGGAAATCATAAGCAAAAGGTAAAAATCAAACGTTGTTTCAATATTTAGAAAACATTTTAATTCCCTGAAGGAAGAGAGCGACAAAAACCAAAACCCTTAAAAGGTCAGAATACAATTTTTCGTCATTTTTCAGTATTATTTAAAATCAATAACAACACAAATTATCGCTTAGAAAATACAACAACCCTGTTTAAAAAAATAAACCTTAATTTGATCAAAAACCGTCAACACCTTAACAAATAATCAATAAAACTTAAAACAATTGATAGAATCACCCATTCACCCGTTTTTATGCTAAGGTCAATTTTTGAACCAGCTTGGATGGGTCCGCAACATCGTCGTCCCCGCCACCTTTGGAGGAAGCGAACGCTTTGTATCTAAAAAAAAAAAAAAAAAAGGAAAAGAGAATCAAATGAATAGGTCAAGAACGTTAGCTCAAAGGAAGTTACAGAGGAAGTGACCCTCCATGACCGAGGGGAACTTTCGTTGTTTCAGCTGCGGTGTTTGGAAGATCTGACTTTGAAAAAACTTGAAAATATTTCATTCAAAATGTTAAACAAAATTCTTTCAAACATCGACGATGATACCTCCAAACCACGTGTCTTTTTGCGAAATTTAAAAATCTCAGCTCTCATTTTTTTATTTTAAGATGGAGCAAATGTTCAACATCATTCGCTAATTTTTTTCCAAATTTGCTTTGCACCGAGAAGAAAAATCACAGAGGTTTTTAAGAAAATAGACGTCAGGTTGTTTTTCTATTTAAAGAACAAAGTGGGACAGGAGGTGTGCAACATCGCAAACTGAGATACTTATTTTGGGAGTTCCACAGCCATTATTGGACTAAATGCTATTACACTTATTATATTTAATTATTGGGGGTCAGATTTACTGATAGTAAAAATCTATCTTTCAGGAGAAAAATTTGAGTTCTTTCACGAACATTTTTGAAAAATGTACCATGTGTTTGAATCTTCAAAAGAAATAGATCGAATATGTGAGGATATTGACAGATTTTATGAAATAAAAGACTTAAAAAAACTGACTATAAACGGGAATGCCTTTCAGGAAAATTTTAACCGCTCAAAACAAGAAACTGATGCACGTTTCAGCAAAGAGAGCTGCGATAAATTGATTACGAAAGAGTCATAACTCCGACATTTCCATTTTTAGGAAATTCGTGATACCCCCATTTCGTTCCCAGTTCCCAGTTCTCAATAGTGAAATTTTCCAACTTCAAGAACCCAATATTAGTATTTGCTCTTTGCAGTTATTCGAGTTGCCGAAGTATACGTAGTACGCACATGTTACACATAGACATTTGAAATTAAAAAATCAATTTTGAGAGTGAATGGCAAATGTCTTTCGGCGAGAGAAACGCGTGGATAATGCATTGCTGCAGACTTCAGATTTCACTGCCGGCTTCGGTGCCAACCTAGAAAAAAAATTATTTCGACGAAAAAGTTTCGGAAGCTCTCTGGATCCCCTTTCCCTGTTGCGTTGTGAATTGTTGATTGAGGAAGAAACGAGAATGAAAAGTGACAAACGAGGCCAAATAAAACATACGTCGAGCCGATAAAATAACGCGTATGGACTACTTACATATTTTGGAACTTCTGCCGTTCTTTCGGGCTCAGGCTTGGTGCGGATGACTCCAGAGCTGCTAACAGGTGTTTTTGAGAGATTGTCATCGGGGCTTTTGTCGCCTGAAAGCACAGAGAACAGCGTCAATACTTTTCAGAGCTTTGTTTCACAAGCGTCGACATTCGACATTAAAACAAGGGCACGGAAAATCCTCGCCCTCGCCCCCCGCCACGGATCCACGCGCTTCGGTGCGCTACGGCGAAGTGAAAAATGAAAAATGAAGAATGACGCAGCGCGGAAAAAAGGCACTTTGTTAGAGTGGTAACAAAGATGCTTTTTACTCCAACACTTGCAGAACAACAGACAAATGCTCTTCCAAAAACGAGTGAATCACAGATCCTGTTTCCGAAAAGCGGGGAAAAAAGAATGGTGGAATCCTCTCAAAGCTCGCGTCATTTTTGCTACCGCGGGATAGGAGCCGTCCCTAACTTTCGTGACGCACTTGCTCGGTATTTTTGACCCCCTTGTAACGCTTTTGTGACGTAGGTCCCAATCCTTTGACACATGAGAGCAAAATGGCGTAACGCTCTTCTTGACCCCCCTCCCTCTCCTCCTACGTAATGGAGGGCCGGTCCCATACGTAGTAACAAAGGTGACGATAGATTCCTGATGGCATTCTACATAGCAATGGTGGGTATATTAGACGATACCAGAAATGATGCACTGAAACATATTTCCTAGACTATACCCACTGGATTCCGATTGGCGGCTATGCTGCCGTGCTAAGGAAGAACGCCGATGAGCATTCTGGTGTTGCCAAATTTCTTCCAACCAAATATTTACTATAGAAGAAAGTTTTGCATATTTTTCCTTGAAATTGTCAGAATGTCTCAGGTTAAATTGTGAATAAAATTGCCTGAAAAATGAAGGAAAAATATGTAACATGTTCCCAGTAAATTTGTTTTTCGTCGAAAGTAATATGACAACGTTTGAAGGCTCATGCGGCGTTTTTCCTTGGCACTGCTGTATAGGGGTGGGCCGTAACTTAGAATAATTTCCTCACAGAAATTCATTCCACTGGATTTCCTATTGGTGCAACTATAATATTGGTTGAAGTAACCAAATACTTGGAGTTATCAATAGCGTTTTCGTTTTAAGCTGGCAGATTTACTGCTACACTCTTAAAACATTTTGAGTGACATTCTTTGCCGGAGTCTATAAAGCGTCCAAAAACATACTGAGTGACATGCATGCGGAGCGGAATCTAATCTCCTTACTGAAATGACTTACGCTCCTATAGACTCTATTAGTGCCACGTCACAGTCGGTATCGATTGTATCGAACTAGATCCAAACAATCAAACATAACCTTACTATTCAATATGAAACTAAAGAATTTCAGAGATAATTCGCCCAGTTTGAGAAAAAAGTTGTGTTAGAGACAGCTCTTTTAATCGCGGAACGTTCCCGCATTGTTAAGTTGACGGGATAAAGCAGTTTCAGAAAGGTGAAAATACCCACGAGGGCCACCATGATTTAGGCCACTCCTATGCCACTCCAGTTTCTTGGCTTTTGACAGTGAAATTCTGGGAGGGAGGTGTCAAGATGAGGTTATGTTTGATTGTTTGGATCCAGTTCGATACAATCGATACCGACTGTGACGTGGCACTAATAGCGTCTTACGGAGTGGAATCAACTCTTTTTGCGGAGTGTCATGTACGCTTCTATGATAATTATACTTCGCATTCATATCTCTCGGGGGTTTTGGGCGCTACATAGGCGCTGAATTCCACTACTCAATTTTTAACCGTGTACTGTGACCAGACGAAGTCACATTATACCGTCTGAAAACGACGAGAAAAAGTGACAAATCGACCACGTTTGGCAGAAAGGAACCAAGCCAAATCAGCTAACACCAAAATTAATTGGGCAATTTAATTTTTTTCAATAGAACGTTTGTGCGGATTCCTTTAAAATTGTAAGGAATTTGCTTCGCGCTATGCAAAAAATTCACTGAACTCTGCACAAAAATCAGCACAACCGTTTTCATGAAAAAATTAAATTGCCCAATTAAATTTGGTAATAGCTGATGTGGCTACCTTTCTACTGAAAGCAGTCCAACAGTACAATGCCATTACGTGAATTTACTCTCGTCTCGCTGAAAAACAATTGATTTACCACGAATATTAATCATATTCTATAATACTATAACATCACAAGGGCATCGTATCACGCTAAATCATGTCATAAACCGCACGGAAAAAAATTAAATTGCTGATTCAACAATTTAATTGCTAAAAACAGTGAATGCAATGTTTCAATGTAGATTTTACAGAAAACAAATGCTACTTTAACCACCCCCGTGGTTAAATTAGTTTACAATGTGGTTAGAGTAGCATTTTCTTGTTGTAAAATCTACGTTGAAACATTGCACTCACTATTTTTAGCAATTGAATTGTTGAATCAGCAATTTATTTTTTCCGTGCGGTTTTTCCTCTACACTCCGCTTCTCTCACGTCGTGCAGGCTATCATGTTTCCCATTGTCTCCTTCTGCGGGCTGATTATTGAAATTGATAGACAGAGCTACCTATGGACGAAGAAGATAAAAGGGGTAAGGAGGGAGCTTATTGGTGGAAGCAGGTGGTTGCGATGGACAAAGGAGGTGAGTGATAGACTAACTAACGACAATTCACGAGAGACCCTATAGTTAGTCCATCATTTTCTCCCTCAGTCTTTAAGAACCATCCATTTTAACCAATAGGATCGCTCCATACTCCCTCTGTCTATTTTGCCTATCACTTTGTCTAATCAGCCCGCTGTGGTGCCCAAGCTCCACCTCCCGTGGCGTTGCATCATCGAGATGAAAATCAAGACAGCGGTTCGAAAGATGTAATTCATAATGAAGTTTTGCCAGAAAATTTCGATTTAAAAATTTATTTTTCTCAGCTAATATGTTAGATGCAAAGCGCCTGGAGAGTAGGGATGCAAAAACGTAAAATACAAAAATTCAGGGGAAAGGAGTGTCACGTGAGAAGATGTATCGTGCGTTGAAACACGCAAAAAAAAAAATCGAGAAAAACACCGAGAGAGGGGGAGTGAGAAATAAAATAATGTAAGCGTTTCAGAGCAAATAGAGACGAGATGCTAAAAAAA